TGCGCCTTCACACTAGAATTTACGGTACGTTAAATACAGGTGCGCTGCACATCCATTCAGATGAACTGAAAAACAGCACAGATCGCTTGGCGGAGAGTGAAACTGATGCGCTCAGTCAGAGAGTGTTCGGCGAGTGAAAATATATCTGTGCTAAACTTATACTTAGCCTCTAACTCACACACTGGCGAGTAAAATCTGAGAATTTATTAGCCATTGGCTAATATTAGACATCATTTAGTCGCCCAGAGTGAAGATTTAGTTGCATATGCGAGTGATTTACTCGCAATGTAGAGGGTTGGTATCGTTAAAAGCTTAAGGTTACTAGGATAACTAATAGTTAGCCAAACATTAACGAGCCTAAAGAGCAGTTTTGCTTGACATTTCTACCCTTTGTCCTGTACTATGCTGCAGTATGAATTTCCTTTTAAGATACTTAAGACTTAATCAAAGAACTTCTATTGACAAGAAGTGAAAGCCAATAGAACGTTCCATTGCAACAGCAGCAGCCCTACGCTTCTGACATTTTGGAGTGAAAGCGACTGACTGGGCAGTCCACTAGCTTCTTGTTGTCGCTATGGCAATATCAGCTGCTTTGTTTAAAAAAAAATGTAAAAAAAAACCTTAAAGCTGAAATACAACCTGAATAATGACAACAATCACCAGAGTGATCCTCAAATCCTTTTAACAGTTTATTTTACAGACTTTGTGTTTAAGTCTTCCTTTTTATTTTTTTTTTTTCACAAAAACTTTGCTCTCTAGAAAGTCAGTTTCGGTTGAAATTCTTTTAAGTTTAAGTATTAGCATTATAAACACTGAATTAATACCAACATATGAAATTAAATTAATGACATGCATCAGAAAAATTGGGAAAGTTGGACAATAAATGAAGAGTTTATTTGCAAAAACGGATAACTCAGTTTTTATTAATTTTCATAAATCATGATTTTTTATTGCGTTGTGTTTTTATTGTGTTTTACATTTAGTCATTTAGCAGACGCTTTTATCCAAAGCGACTTACAAATGAGGACAATAAAAGCAATCAAAATCAACAAAAGAGCAATGATATGCAAGTGCTATAACAAGTCTCGGTTAAATGAACACTGTTTACATTTACATTTAGTTTTATTGTGTTAGTTAGCTGATTAGTTATTATTATTTAATCTAAACAACCCAACTGCAGTTTGATTGATATTAATTGGAATGCAGGATTTAAAAAAAAAAGATTTTTGAACATTTAAAAAAACGGAGTTATCTGTTTTTGAAAATGAACTCTTCAAATATAACAAGAATATAACAGCTTGACAGTAAACTGTTTTTGCAGTATTGTCTTATATTAATGTCCATTAAAGCAAGACTGTACACACACACAACAAAAAAAACACAGCCACTGTCTTCAAAATTGTTTAATTATGACAGACACAGCAATGCATCATGTTCTATAAGATCATCATGTTCGTAGTGTGTTCCAGGGGATTAAAACGTACAATATATATTTCAGACATAGTGGCGTAATAGTCACCACTAATAGTAAATGTGTAAAGTTGCATAAAATGGAAATACTCAAAGTAGGCTAAAACTACCTCAACTATGTACTTATAGTTTTTGTACTTATAGTTTTCAGATAACTTTTGCAGTGGATTGCCGAACATTGTGTTCTTTCTTTCCACTTTGACTTGTCTTTCGTTGTTATTCTGTCCGTTTCTGTGTATCTGTGCTGTTGTCATTTTCACTCTAAATGGCGGCCGCGCTACCGAACCACCACCAAATGGCTGTTACCCAAAAAGCCTCAGAGTTTTGCTTCTTGACTTCTTTACTCTTTGACGTAATGTAGGATGACCAAGTTCTTGCCTCTGTCATTAATCTGCAGCACTTCGTTGACGGCCGGCCGACACCTGCTCACCCCGATCCTCTGCCAGCATTGATAGATAACTGTAGTATGTTGAGAACAGTGTCTGTGCCACCAAGGGAAGGACTACGAGATGACCGCAAACCACACAATGCTGAAAACATCAGGTGTTTGTGTTATATAAATAAAAAGCAAATAATAACTACAATGCAGTATTTTTATTCTATACTTATGACATTACAAATTACAATTACATTACTTGTCATGTCCTCCTGGGACCCAGAAAAAAAGTTTTGTGAATTTAGGTTTTTTTTTTCATGTCATTAGAGCATAAGAAAAAATTGAAAAATAACTATTTTGAAAAATGATATTTTATTCATATGTTATGCTATGTCCTTTGTAGAGGACACCAGGACTTTAAAAAATAAATAAATAAATAAATGACATGAATAGGCAAAAACAATGGATTTTTTTTTTTTTTTTTTAAATCAACAATAAATTTTTAGGTTTCAGGATTTTTTTTTATACCAAAGTTTGTATAAAGATGATTCTCAACTATGTTATGAAAGATGTAACAGAATTATTTGATATGTAATTTTGCTTTGTGTAATATGTGTGTAAAATGGCCTAAGAGGGTTTTCCCGTTATATACAATCTATCTTTACTCTGCATCTAATTTGCATATTAATGTGTTCTTGGGGCAACGTAATGATAAAAGAAGTGTAATAATGGGAGTAATAATTGGCTAGATTTTCATGACAATATCTAATATTTCATAGGAATATTGAAATATAATTTCTTTCCCTATTCATTTGTTGTGTCTCCCTGTTATGAAAGATGTAACCGAATTATTTGATATGTAATTTTGCTTTGTGTAATATGTGTGTAAAATGGCCTAAGAGGGTTTTCCCATTATATACAATCTATCTTTACTCTGCATCTAATTTGCATATTAATGTGTTCTTGGGGCAACGTAATGATAAAAGAAGTGTAATAATGGGAGTAATAATTGGCTAGATTTTCATGACAATATCTAATATTTCATAGGAATATTGAAATATAATTTCTTTCCCTATTCATTTGTTGTGTCTCCCAAAATGTGTACTAAACATGCTTTAAGTCCTGGTGTCCTTTACAGTGGACATGTATGAAATTGATGTCCTGTTATGTAACAAAGTCATATTTTGATTTGAAACCCCATATCATTTTCCTGAGATGCTGATTTATGACAACAATTTTAAAAATGGGTCAGATTTAAATGATGATTACAAAATATTATATTTCCATAAGAGTGTTATGTTTGATCGATCATTAAATTAATGTCAGCCATTTTTGAAGACTAAGAAGAGGGCGTGGTCATAGTCAAATCTCCAAACATTTGGTATTTGTGAAAAGCCCTGAATGTGCTCTTTTCAGGATATCAAGACTCACTCAAATAAAATGTCCCCTACAGAGATGAAAAGTCTATTTCTGGGTCCCAGGAGGATATTATTATTTATTTAGCATATTATTTTTGAAATATTAAATGTATATATCATTTTTACAGGTGCGATCTACAAGGCGTTTCCATTGTTATTAAAAAAGAGATGGTAGCAGAATCAATCATGGAGGATACCACTAAAGAGGAGAGCACTATGGTCATTAAAATGGGTATGTGTTTTGTTTTTTGTTACCGTGATCTCTCTAATATGGATGGGCGAATCGATCCTGAAGAATCAATATATCGATACTGATGCGAGTATCAAAAGTATCGATACACAAATAAAAAATATCGATACTAAGGTGTTTTTATTTACCAGTCATTTTATTTAACAAAAAAATGCATACAATATGCATTAAATAATAGTTGTGTAGGAAGGAACTATTTTCCTGCTCATCTGGACACATGCAAATGTTGCAAGGCAGAATCAATCAATCACAGAGAGCATTTACTCACTTCTGACAGTGCATTCAAACAGAGCTGTGTTTCCCAAAAGTAGCCTATCATAAGAAAGCATTGATGTATTTGGGAACGGCAGCCGAGAACAGTGCAGAAAAAAACATATATGTTTGAGTTATTTCACAAAAAACTAATTGAAATTGTAGCCTTGTTTGTGCAGTACATTTATTTAAATTTGAACTTTACAGAATAGAACATGATTAATATTAATCAATATCAATATCAATCAATATTAAAAATCAATATGCACTTATATATTGTTACTCTTTTGTTAGTTTTGACTGCTTTTATTGTCCTCATTTGTAAGTCGCTTTGGATAAAAGCGTCTGCTAAATGACTAAATGTAAATGTAATATGAACTTTTAATGTTAATATAAATCATACACTCTCAGAATAAAAAGGTTGCATTTTATGCATGCAACAGCCTGTCACTGGCAGTCCCTTATGAAAATGAACCATGGTTTTACTAAAGTGACCATAGTTTAACTATAGTATTTGTAGATTTCCATGGTTACGACTACAGTAAACATATTTAAACCATGTGTAAACAAAAATATAACGTAGTAAGTTGCAATTAAGAATTGAATGTTAAAATGTGTTTCAAATATAAAGTTAAGTGGGTATTATTACCCATTTTACTCTTAGTAATTCAATAAATGTCATAATTTAAAAGTTCAATTTAGAAGTATCGTATCAATATCGACCATACTGGTCATTAAAAGTATCGGTATCGTATCGAAAACAAAATAAGTGGTATCGCCCATCCATACTCTCTAACTGCACAGGGCTGGTAGGAAATTATTTATAAAAAAAAAAAAGTTTAGTTTTCATTTTTTCCCCACATATGGCAAAAAAATTAAATCTGGTGGGGGGTTTTTTGTTTTTTTTGTTTCTCAGAACGTTTGACCGATTTTTACAATTTTTAACTAGTCAACTTGAAAATGTACAGTAACTACAACATGATTCAAGTAACTTTTTCTTTAATAACCCTCTAGTTCAGGGGTCACCAAACTTGGTGTCCTGCAGAGTTTAGCTCCAACCCTAATCAAACACACCTGAACTAGCTAATCAAGGTCTTGCTAGCTATACTTGAAATTAACAGGCAGCTAAACTCTGCAGGACACCGGTCTGGTGACCCCCTGCTCCAGTAAATAAAATTCTATTCCAAGTGCACCACACATGAAGTTGTCAACATGATGTAAATGTTAAACAAATCACTTGTTAAATATCTTTGCAAAGATGCATGATCTACAACTACATCTTGTACAAACATGTCTTATGCATATGATATATTCTGAAATAATACAAGGAAAAAGCTTTAAAAAATTCTCAAGTCAAGGTAATTCAAATTCAGAATGACTGAAGGTATAACACCAGTAGACTATTGTTAACTATAAAAGTTCTGTATAAAATTTTTTTTTTAAAACAGCAGCTTTCAGCCTGTCACCATGATGCAAACATGAAATATCAGACACACAGTAGTAGTTCTTTACAGGTTTTTTTTATTTGATTGACCTGCTTTTCCATTGTTTATTCTATGTAAACATGGACGCATTTGACTGTTGCGCTCGTGTCTCTTGCAGCATCTCATGCATTAAACGGCATTCTAAAATAGTAGCACTCAATTTAAAAGATATTCGACTACCATCTAGCATTTTTTTCCCACTGCCAGCGTCGCATCTTTGTTGCTGACATGCAGTTGGATCATTCTTTTCTCTTTACTGTTATCATTGGCATATTGTCAAAGTGTGTAATTCTAACGTTTGGTAATATTTATTTCTGTTCAAAATCGTGAATTTCTCAATTTATAAAAAATAAAATCGTGGCAAAACATTAAATTCGAATTCATCGATAAAATCTGAAAAATCACCCAGCCCTATTTCCCACATTTCTGCATCAAAGTGAATGTGTTCCAGATGGTAATCATTGTCAAACTTCACAAAGTCACACCATGGCATCCCAGTCATCCCCATCTGTCCTATAACTTGGTAATAGTACTCATGGTAACGTTTGAGACTGCTTCTGGAGGTATTGACAACCTGTGGAGCTGTATTGGTCTGTGCACTTTATTTCTACAATTCCATAGCTTTTGTTGTAGCCATACTGAAGGACTTTCCTGTCAGGAGATGTACCTTAATGGAGGGCATGTAAACTTGGTTTCCTGTGATTTCTGTGTATTGGGCTGCAGCAACTGGCTCAAGCTCCAGGCCTTTCTTCATTGCTTTGGTTTGCAGTGTTGTCTTCTTCCTCAGCATGCTGGTGGCAAGCTGCCTCTTATGGCGCTTTTCCACTGCGTGGTACAACTTGGTTCGGCACGGCTCAGTACGGTACGGCACGGAACGGCTCGGCTCGGTTTGTGTTTCCACTGCAGTTCAGTCCGCTTTAGAGTGGGCGGGATTATTCACGTGTCGTTTATAGTTGCACCACCTCTACTCCTGAAAAACTTTTTCATTCCGCGTCGCCCCATCAAGCTCTCGCTGGATCCGCTCCTCTGCTATCAACGAGAGGAACATCTGTACTTCCTCAACAGACAGCGAAACAGCCACTTTTTTGTTGTTAAAAAAGGTGCGCTCGTTCAAAACAGTTGCGTTCGATCCTTCGCTGGCTGTGCTGATTTAAATCTAGCGGTTCTTTTGTGTTTGTGTCGCAAGTTCAGTGACGCAGGTAGTGACGATTCTCTCCGGCCAATCAGTGATCAGCAGAGTTTACATGTCATGTTTTGGTAATGGTATGGTTCGCTTGGAACCTCAACCGAGGTGGTACTAAAAAAAGTACCAGGTACTGTACCCAGTGGAAAACCCCCCAAAAGTGAACCGTACCGTGCAGTGGAAAAGCGCCATTAGTCTGCTTTCCTGGAGTATGCTCTCTTGAAAGAGGATGAAGTAAGATGAGGCGAGCGGACAGAGTGCCAGATGTTGTTGATGCTTGTCTGGGTTCTTTCTCCAGTGCCTCTGATTCAGACTTTGAGACCGTCATTGCATTGTAGGTTTCCATCTGGTCTTTTGTTAGGTCTGTAAAGAAGGTGCTTGGTTGTGGTGACAAAGGGAAATGTGGAAGATCATCAGTAGGGTTTGACAGGAAGGATCTTGGCCAAGTGTTGTCCAATAACGGAAGCTACACAAACGCACAAGAAAAGGAAAAAAAATATTGCCATGTTTGTAAGTTATTTACATTGTGTTTATGTCCTGCGTTAATAAAACACTAGTTTAAATCATTTCATTCTTATGTTTCCAGAGTGCACAGATGACCAACCCCAGACAGAAGAAACACAGGTGGAACTGGAAAGACTGAAGACTCTTCTTGCTCAAAAAGAAAAAGAAAATGACTTGCTAAGAGAGAAAATACAAGCTCATCAGGCTCTTTACCCACTAACACCAGAGACTGTAAATAACAGCAGTGTCCCTAACTACTTCAAATACTGCACTGGGTTCACTTATGATGAATTTAACAAACTGTGCAGATTTTTCGCCCTTCCAGATAATGAAACAGTCCCACAAACACACATCCCCTTGACATGTGATAAACTGAACAGGCACATCCGCCACATGCCTTTACGTCAACAATTTCTACTTGTACTTATGAAACTAAGACAAAACTACGACCTGGAAGAGCTAGCTTTCAAATTTCAAATTGATATGCAAAGTGTTAGGACTTTATTCAGTTCATGGATTGACTTCATGTATGACAGGCTAGGTAATCTGTCTGTTTGGCCACACAGGGACATCATTGCCGACAACATGCCCGACAACTACAAAGCAGAGTTTCCAACAACTTTTGCCATTCTTAATTGCACAGAGATAAAGATAGAGAAACCTAGCTCACTGTTAGCACAAAGTCAGACTTGTTCTAACCGTAAGTCTACTAACACACTCAAGTCTCTGATAGCCTGTGATCCTCATGGCTCCATCATGTTTGCATCTACGCTATACACAGGATCAATTTCTGACCAAGAGCTGTTTAGACGGTGCGAAATCAAAGATTTACTGAAAGGTCTGCTTCAGTGTGGCCACCTTAAGAGAGGTGATGGGCTGATGGTGGATAAGGGGTTTCTCATTGAGAAAGATGTGAAGGAGCTTGGCCTTCAACTAAACATTCCTCCATTTGCAAATCTTCACATGCCAGTCCCAGATGTTCAGATAGCAAAAAAAATAGCCAAACACAAAGTGCATGTAGAAAGAGCAATAGCCAACGTCAAAAAATTTAAGATAGTGTCTGGTAGAATCCCTAATTACATGTTAGAAAATATAAATCAGATATGGTTTGTGGTGTGTATGTTGTCTAATTTCCAGCGACACAGCATTCAGGCATAGGTTGCTGAAGAACCCACATAGGGACAGCAAAGTGCTGCAGTTAATTCATGGCCATGATTTCTCTCTGCCTGTCACGCAAGTTATTATAATAAATTTGCATTTTGTATCCCATTTTTAACCTTTCAGATTCTTGTTATAGTGTGAATGTTTTTCTTTTGTAATGATAATAATTCAGTCTTAATCTGTATCACTGTTTTTACCTGGTAGCTCAAACCACTTGCAAGAGGGTACTTTTCCTGACCTACTGCATCTATTGGTGGCCTGTTTGCTATGTAGCTCACAAGGTGTCCCTGTCCAAATCCTCATTTGCCACTTTAGACAAAGCTCTGCAATGTACAAAATTCACATCTACTTGTCATAAAAGTTTAGATTACTGGTACTCCAACACCACAGTAAGGTGCACGGTTTATCATATTTGGTATTTCTATCATTATTTATAAATCATGAAAACAGCTCACCTACCATTGCTGTAGTGACAGAAGTTGGATATGTTTTCGGTTTGGAAGTTCACCCCCACCACAACAGCTGTTACGGGCAGTGGTTTAATTTTTCAACACCACAGTAAGGTGCACGGTTTATCATATTTGGTATTTCTATCATTATTTATAAATCATGAAAAACAGCTCACCTACCATTGCTGTAGTGACAGAAGTTGGATATGTTTTCGGTTTGGAAGTTCACCCCCACCACAACAGCTGTTACGGGCAGTGGTTTAATTTTTCTGCCTCTTGGCTTAGGCTTGTGGAGGACTGGGCTGAGAAACTGCACATTTTGGGGGCTTTACAGAGGTCCAGGGTATAGATAAGACCAACGACATGGGCGCAGAAACCTGTGGAGCTAACCAGATGTTGTTACAGCACACTATAGGCTAATAATGTTATGGTAATTAGCTAACGCCAGCTAGGATGACTTACTGAATGTGACGTTATAGATGCATACTGCTTTTGCCTTTTAATGATTCTAATTAGGGTTGGGTATCATTTGGGTTTTTTACAATACCGGTGCCAAATCGATACTTTTAAAATGGTACTGGTGCCTGAACCAATACCAAAAAATGTGCCTTGCAAAAGTATGCATACCCCTTCATTTTTTTTCACGTTTTTTGTTATGTTGCTGCCTTATGTTAAACTGCTTTAAAGTACTTTTTTCCCACATCAATCTACACTCCATACACCATATTGACAAAGCAAAAACAGAA